GTTCTTCTTCACGAGCGTTTGCGGTTTTTTGCTCAATGACAAGCTTTGAACTCACTTCCTAGGGCGGTTCTTTTCATGTGCGAGGTGAATGGGTCCGTAGCCAATAGAGCATTCTATTTTTCCGCTCAAAAGTGCAGGGCCGTAGGATTGTGATACTCGGGTGTCGTCTCCCCGAATCTGCCCGCGCTATCCCCAAGGTGCAGCACTTGGGTAAAAATCAGAATCCCGCAGCGAACGCGCACTGTGAGGTAGGGAACCACAAGAAGTGAGAGGGCGCAGAAAATAACGCGTTTGGCTATGGTTAGGCGTGGCGGGCCTTACGGCAGCGCTGACGAAATCGAAAGACGACACTCGCGTCTTTCGCCTCCTCCAGCGCTGCGGTAAAGCCACTATCCTTGTCCTGTTCGTGGGCACTTTCGAGCGGAGAATCTCACAATACTATCCATCCGTACAATAGTCCATCCGGAGGTGAAAACACGGTTTGTTTTCAACAGTGCTGAATTATGGCACACACATGTAACCTTGTGTTCATCCTCACGTTTACTTCCAACTCTATTTCCAACCGCATTTTGACTCCGTGCACTCTTGACTACATGCACTGGTTCATGTAAGCACAATGTGACCCTTCTAGCAGTTACATCTTTTCTCTGATTGATTTTCCCTGATTCCATCATTGCAAGTGGCGTCCAATGCGCGGTGTTCGCACGAGGACCATGCATTAATTGATCCAAGGGAGTAGTGCTGCATGACGAGTCAACTAGCTAGAAAATACGAGCTGGCCTGTGCGCGACGCCGAAGCTTGGTTTTCCGCCCATCTCGCTTCGTGAAAGCTAATCTGGTCTCATCACTATGTTTCTTCCTTTAGTAGCAAGATGTCTCACGAATCCGAAATGACCTATTGATTCAAATATCTGTCTAATAGTATTATTGCTATTTGTATTTAAGATGGCTCTCTCGTCAAGCAGTCTTTTATTGGTCACACGGGTTGGGTGTCGTGTGTAAGGTGGAATCCCTGCGATGAGAAGTGTTTTGTGAGCTCATCATTTGACAAGTCTGTGAAGATGTGGGATATACGGTAAGTTGCACATTACTGAGGTCTATTTTGACATTTTTCCACTTGAGTTTAAAGAATTTACATTTCTCAGTTACTCAAAGTAAAAATGCTTTGTTCACCTTGTACTCTCGTTTTTTTTTCAAAACACCTCGTATTTATCGAGCTTTGCTCTTCGACGGTTCGGTCTGAGCATGCCTTAGAACTATAGACTACGCTAGAAGGATAAAGTCTTAGCCATTAGTTAATTCCTTTTTGGGATGCGGCTTGCATTTTACTTCCATTCAGAATTGTAGAGATTTATTGAATGCAGGTAATCAATACAATGGATTGCGAGGACCAGCCGGTG